CTTGCTGTATGTAGCGATCTACTCTTTCTATGGCGACCTTGTCTTTCTCGGATGTATCATCGGGCAAGCCTTTACGAAAGAATTCCAGGAATTCCTTCTCTGCTAATGCGTTATCTTCTTCACTGGCATGCATGTCGAGTTGAATGAGGTGGGATGTGCATCGAGATGCACCCATGTAGAACAATTCCCTTCTCTTCGCCCTCTCGTTGGTGATCAAGAACACGATGGGGGCCTCCAACCCCTTGAAGTGGTGAACGTACTCGACGACGGGGCAGTTGGTGTGAGACGCCCTGTGTATCTCTTCCATTTCTTTCCTCAGCCGTTTGCCGTGAACTAGAAAATCGTCTCTGCCGGCGAAGAGGACGACGACGTCTCCGACGCTTGTCCCACACCCGAGTCGGTCTCTTAGGATTTCATGGATCTTTTCGGCAAGACCGGAACTAGAAACATGAATCTTTTCCACCCTGGGGCCACGGACATCATTCCCCAATTGAATAATTTCCTTTTTATATTCTGGGTCACCAAGACCGGAATTAGTCAGGTCCAAGTCTTTTGCTGTTGAGAGATTTTCTCCCGTCCATGTCTGCAAGACAGATCCCGGGTTCCGATAAACTGCGAGCAATGAATGAGCACGTTCCACCTGCTCCTTCAAGTTGTCCGAAACTTTTGTCAAGGAGAGCGGGTCGAAAGCCACCCAAAAGTATCCTCTGTCTCCTTTGTGAAGGGAATGGAGTGAGGTCCACCAGTGGTCATCGAAGCCAATGCACAAATCTTCGGCTTCGTCGACGAAGATGTGGTCGAACGGGAGTTTCGAGGTCTTGAGGATTTTCTCCACGTCCTCCAGCACGGCTTGCTGCATCGTTCCGGACAGTTCCAACACGAGTGCACAGCATTCGGATAACCGACAAGTGAGTCCCAACATCGATCGACCCACGGATCCTTGGCGAATAAGCTGATGGACGGTGGCTTCTGCAAACACCATCACTTGGATGTTTGCGTCCATTACCTGCAAAGCCACTGTGGAGGGAGTGAATGACCGGAAGAAGTATTGGATGATCTGCACTTTCAACGGCCATCTCATTTTCTCTTCCGGTCGTAGGGAGGCAACAGAGCTTTTTAGAAGCTCAAGGAATAGATACGCTTCCCAGCTTGCATACCTGATCCTTAAAACGAGATTCTCTTCTTGGAGTTCAGCTTCCTCTTTTGCCTCCTCCTGGAACACCGCTTTATAATATTCTTTGAACCCCTTCCAGTCAGACTTCAGCAAGCAGATGAGAAGGTTGTCGCGTAAAATCTGCCTTACCCTCTCCATTTCGTCCGTTTCCTCTGTTTTGGCGATCCATCTGTTGAGTACGGCCATGGCGGACGTGAGGAGGATGTCGGGTAGGGTATTGTGCAAGTGCGAGGCCAAGAGGTGATTATTGCAGACGAGAAGAATCTTTTCGTCCTTGTCTCGAATGGGTCCATCAGAGAACCAAGACATGAAGATGTTCCTGATCTTCTCCTGCAGCAGCCACGTCTTTCCCGTCCCGGCTGCCCCTTTCAAGACGAACTCCTTCGGTCCGTTCACCAACAGATCCAGCTTGTCTGCGGTGAGGAAATTGAGCTTCTGCGTCGTCAACCGGGCCGAGTGTGCCGGGGTCGCATACACTGGGGCGATGTACCTGAGATGCAATAAAAATCTTTCATTGCTCTCATTTGTGAAATACCTAAAAACACCCTCAGGAATATTTATGCTAAAATATTTCAGGCAGTGCGCTTGTTTAGAAAAAGGAGGCCTTGCACCAGTGCTTTAGTGCCATTTATTGAGGAATTTGGAAAGGACTCATTGGCGCTGACACGCTGCCGTTTCTCGTGTAGCTCAAAATTCAAGAGAGAGAAACAGGAATCCCATGCTTTCAAAACTGAATGACTTCCCGAAAGATAGAGGATTCCATATTATGTTCTTTGAACGGTTAGAGGTCAGCTCTAGGCCAAGAATTGGTATACGGGGTAGGGATTCCACTAGTGATAGCGCAAGGAATAGGTATTGAGCGTCCTGAGTCGACGTAAACTGCTTCAAGTGTAATAGCTCATTCGGGGGTTTCGCCCCTTTCCGAAAGGTGCTTCTCAATTATATATCATTGGTCTGCCATTATCAGACAAAAAAGAGTTGTGCTTCGGCCAGTTATGTGGAAAAATCACGAACATGGTGTTTGAAAGTGACTTTCCCTGAAGGTTACGGTTCACAGGCAGCTACTTCGTTAAAAATTCATCTAGACGGCACGCGCGTAGAGGGAGAATTTTTGGGGACAGCGAAGGAGGCTAGAAGGGGAGGGGCAGACAGACGCACGAGCTGTCTGCAGCCAGGATCCGTAGTGGCGTCTTGGACTTTTCGTGGGGGCGTTGATGCGCATGCGTCAAACACATACCTGCGACGCGGACGATTCGAAGAAACTACCATGAGTAGTTTCAGTTCGTGCACGTGCGTCTGTCTGCCTCTCCCCTTCTAGCCTCCTTCGTTGTCTCCGAAAAGTCTCTCTTCCAAGCCTCTTTTCTTCGATGGAGAAATTTTTAAACCAGAAAGGCGTACGTTTTTTCTGTTTCTCCGTTTGCAGTAGCTCTATGGGCTTTTATGCAGTACCTTATGTAGTTTCATATACATGTCATAAGTAGGGAACATGGAACTGGTCTGGTTGAAAATGCAGTTCTGCATTTCTCACTTCATTCTCATTCACTCACTTCCGAGTGAGAAAAAAAAATGCCGGACAATTTCTTTCTTCACACGACTATTGCTGCAGTAGGCCCAGGAATATCGCTGGATTGAAATGCGTAAAACTGCGTGGTGTGTGATTGAAGTAGCTCACACCATAGAAAAACTGTTCAGGTATCTGGTAGGAATGACCCCTTGGTTCCAAAGTTGGTTTTTGCTATTGCGTTTGAGAAAACGGGGCTGATTCGACACGTCAAAGCTCATCACATCGGATCAGTGCGCGTGTGGAGTAGGTAGAAAGGTCGTCGCAACGAGAACTTGACATGCATGTAGTGACGTATTAAAGGGAAGAGGGGTATTATGATTGTTTTCTACTGTACAGTCACTTGCGAGAGTTGCCATAGAGATCAATGAGAAGGATAATTTGATGTCTGTCGTGTTAAGGGCAGTGGCGTGGGGACCGATGAACGCGTTGGCCCACCGCTTCCTCCTTCACTCTTGTTGTTCCAGCCCTTTGAGCTCAGCACTCGCTTCTCCTTTAGGGGTAAGTGGAACTCCCTTAGTGAGTCCTTGGTTACGCTACTGTGCAACCGAGATGAAAGCGAGAGCGAATGATCATTGGTCTGAGGCCGCCCACTTGCCAAGACCGGCTATTGTACGTCTTGTGAATACCATGTACACCCATCCTTTAAGCCCAGTCTTCGCCTTGTGACTATAGCCATGTACTAATTAAGTATAAAACATGGGTGGAGGAGGCCTAGAATATATTTTCCAGCCTTGATTATGCCATCTTTCCATTTCCCATGAATTGTCCAAATTGACGAAAGCTGTTTCCGGTAGGGATACGCGAAGACGCGTAGACATGGAAATAATTATGTATTGACACGATGCAGGATTAGAGACAGAGTCCACTCTGTCTCCTTCTAGCGGTCGACGAAAGTACAACAAAGGTCGTCTGATGGCGGGGAACAACTTCCCGCCCGCCCGAGTAAACTACGGGAATCGGGTGACTGGTCCCTGGGTATTTGGGATGGCGTGGCATCACGGAGGTTTGTCGGAGACCAGGCTTTTCATTGTCGACCGTCGCGACAGAAAGACACTCCTCCTGATTATACGCCGCCACATCCGCCCGGGGACAACCATCCGCTCAGACGAGTGGGCCGCGTATGAGGTCTCGGTAGAATTGGCTACATCCACAAAACTGTGAACCATTTGCAGAATTTTGTGGACCCCAACACTGGAGCCAACACACAGAGAATCGAAGCACAGTGGCGATCGATAAAACAGAGGATATTCAAGAGGGGCCTCATAAGAATAACTGGATATGGTGTACCCATAGGAACAGTATAGGCATGCGTGCTGCAATTGAAATAAGTCTCATGCTTCAATTTAGGCTAATGGCTGTAAAGAGCGATTGTTAATTGGTCTGGAAAATGAGCAGCCCCAAGCCCCATTCTAAGTCTCAGGCAGAATAAATTGCTTCACGGGGCAGTGTTTCACGACTATACCAGCTATTGTATTTCAAGTTTCTTGATTACAAATCTGGAAGGATTGGACCGTGCTTTGTTTGGAAAGCTTTTGGAATAAATGCCCTCTTGGGGAGGAACGGCACGCCTTGCATGAATATTTTGCCCTGCGTATTGACTCGTATCGACTACGCAATTCTCGGTATCAAAATTGGCAACCTTCAAGTTTAGAGCGATAAAGTCGTATTTTAGAATGGGGCACCATGGGTCGGCATAGGGTATATGGGTTAAGTGTCCGGCGTACGACGAATAGTCCCCATAATCATCGCTAAAATGAAGTTCAGTTTTCCTCCAAAGTCATCACACAAATGAGCCTTCGCACCACAGGAGGAGAAGCCCTTTGAAAGATTCCAAAGGATATAATCATCAAGAAACATTTGACACACTGAGTTATGGCCCTTTGTGCCTCAAATAGTGACTCATCGTGCCCCAACGTGAGGCATTAAAATGAAGTCAAGATTACAACCAGAGTGAGTTGAGATTGTACCTCATACGTGCAGGCATAGAACAACCGATCTTCCAGTAAGAATTAAGAGTTTTCATCAAAAGAAACAGAGCAAAATCGTGAGGTCACTATCAATTAAAACGAAATAAGCGTATTTTGCAGAAGAACGTCCGAAGTACGGAATTTACACTTTGGATGGGGATAACTCTTGCTACAACTACGTTTCTTGGCACCACAGTTGGAGATATGCAGCGGACCACACGAGGAGAAACAGAGCTAGGAGAGCTATGAATACCCTGATCCATGGTGCCCCACCCCTTCCTACCGTCAATGCAACTCACATGGCCAGAAGACGTAGGTACGACCTGGAATCGATAGTGGAGCCCTGCAGGTGGTGGAGAACATGACCGTTCCACCACCGCTCAATGGATTCTAACGACTCGAGGTCTTCTTCGCAGAGGAAGACACTCCGGACAGGTAAGTCACTCAGAGATTTCCTTTCAACTTGAGCTCTTTTCACATTCGTCAGAGCTACTACACAGAGTGACACCGTCATGTCCTTCGCATCACTTTCCTTAAAATCATTCCAGGTGGTTTCGAAGTTGCAGAAGTCTTTCTCGAGTTGGGTTTTGGCTTTATCAAAATTATCGTTTAGCTTTCTCCTTGAATCCACATTCTTGACTTGCACGAAAATGACCCCAATCTCACGATGTATTAGGACAATGTCGTGTTCTCCTCCTTCCAGGATATTCTCAATGCCACCACCCACATTTCTTCTCTCGACGAGGTGGGAAAAGTTACGATTATACGTGATAAACATTGGCATTTGGTTTTTCCGTCCCAGGCCATATAGACGAAGAATTAGGTGTCTCTCTGATTTCCCCCCAGATGTCTTGGCTGCCTTAACCCAGTCTTCTTCGTGTTGAACTGGTGGGACCAGGCGAGTTGTGCTCCCAGTTTCCCAATCGTTGTACGTTTTCTTGATGAATCGTTCAGCTTGATAGATCCACTTCGATTCCCTCGCAGGTTCATTTCTGCTCATTGTGCTCACGACTGGAACAGAAAAAAGGGACTACATTTAACTAAGGGCAGAAAGTTTTCTCCCAACCCATACTGCCTCCTCACCTCTTTAGTCACGAAGTTTTAATGATTGCAGTTGTGTAATATCTTGTAAACTGAACGGTTCCTGTCATATCAGTGAGGAATGAAAGCCACGCCCTAGTCCACGCAAATGACATTCGACGACCTGACTGGTGTTTGACCCAGAGGCAGGAGTAAGATATCTACTATCGCACATGCACCACATAACAGTACCTCTAAAATAAAACAATGTACAGGGTGAGCCCAAAGTCACTGAATGACTTTTAACAGCTATAACTCGGTAAGGTAGGCATTATTTGCAAAAGGTTTTTTTTTTGCATAGGAAAGAGCGTGCATTAATTCAAAAATATGCAACGTTGAAAAAAAAGTGACATTTGACGTAAAATGACAGTAATTACTGGTCATGATATTGAGCACCGTAGAGCTCGATCACGCGAGCCGTCACCGAAAGGTAACTCCAGCAATCTTCTCAGCGATGCCTTGCTTCAGTTCAATGATCGTGCGCGAATTTTCTGTATATACCTGGTCTCTAAATGAAATCCCACAGCCTGAAGTCGAGTGGAATCAGGTCCGGCGACCTGGGAGGTCCATCGATAGGCCCGACCTGACCTATCCACCTGTCTTCAATGTAAAACGACGCTACACTTCGAAAGATTTCCTTCACAGATAGAGAATACATTAACGATGGCGACACGTTCCTCCAAAGAAAACTCATCGGCATGATCAGAAAACCATTCGGAGCAGCAAAAATTAGCAGAAAATAATCGTGAATAGGGCGTCCTTTGTACCCTAAGCATCAATTTTATGTTATAAAATGTTGCTTTTCTCTTTGTGCAGGCTTGTCTCATTTCTTTTTGGTGTTTCATGCAAATTTCCATGTTTTTTCGTCAGTTAACGCACGCTCTTTCATATGCAAAAAAAAAAGTTTGCAACTTAATGCCTTCCTTGCTGAGTTATAGCTGTTCAAAATCGTCCAGTGACTTTTGACACCCTGTATATATTAGGTATAGCATAAGTTCTGACCCTCTTAGGCAAAGCAACCTTTTCATTTATTTTCAACAAATAACAAACAATCTCAATCAATGAAATATTGACCATTGTGTTCAATGACCTTCGCCCAGCGCTCGGGCAGTTGGTCGATGCCTCGCTCGTAGAACTCGGCTGGCTTAGACTCGAAGAACGTGGCTAGGTCTTGACGAAGGTTGTCATAGTTTTTGTGGCAGCTGTCGGCGAGGTGGTGTTGCAGAGACCGAAACAGTTGGTAATCCGATGGCGCTATGTCCGGAGAGTACGGTGGATGAGGTAGCGTTTCCCATCCGAGCTCCTTGATCTTTTCCTTGGTCGCCTTCGCGACATATGGTCATATCATGCTGGAGAATGACGACCTTTCGGTTGATCAGTGTTGGACATTTTCTGCGCAATTCTTCGTAAAGGCGTTGAAGCTGGTTGGAGTAGAGGTCCGCCATGATTGTCTGGTTCTTTTGGAGCAGCTCAAAATGGATCACACCGTGCCTGTCCCACCAAATGCACATGAGGTGGCGCTTCGGGTGCAGCCCAGCTTTCGGCGTCAAAGTGACTGCCTGGTCCGCGTCCAACCACTGCCATTTGCGAGTGACGTTGTCGTAGCTGACCCACTTCTCATCTCCCGTAATGATTCGACCCAAAAACGACTCGCTGTTTTAGCGCGACGGGAGTGAAGCACAAATCGTCAGCCGTTGAGCCTTGTTTTCTTCGTTGAGTTCGTGAGGTACCCAAATGCTTTGCGCATCTTGCCGAGGCCGTGGATGATGCTTTTTTGGTCGCATCCGAGCTGCTGTCCAAGTTGACGTGAAGATTGGCCCGGGTCTTCATCGAGCAGCTGCTGCAGATCTTCATTCTTCAGCTCAGCGGGTAGTCCAAAGCGGGGTTTGTCATCAATGTCGTCGCTCCCAGAGGCGAATTTCTTGAACCATCGCTTGCATGTGGAAAGACTTGGAGCAGTTTCACCGTACATTTCCAGCAGTTCTCGGTACGCAGCGGTCGCGGTCAGCTTGCGGTGGTACGCGTTAAGTAAGAGAGCGCGGAAGTAAACATTTTTGTCCATCATTGTGCTGAAAAATGGAGCGATACAATAAACGGTTTGTGGCAAATGAGGTATCAAAATACTCGGCTGACAACCGGGAACCAAGTACAAAACGCAATAGCTGCCAGAATTTTACATCAGAAAATGACAGTCAAATTTCTAAGCATAGGTCAGAACTTATGCCTCAACCTAATATATATATATACATATGTCGTATGCAAGTTGACATTTCCATGCGAGTTGAACTTGCATAAAGTATACCGTGCAACTTGAACCCGTCCAATTTTCCATATGCATGTTAACTTGCATGCATTCTTTCTTATGCAAGTTAACCCATATGATGGACTTTTGTGTAAGTTCAAGAGGGATATCTGGACCCCTAATGATATACAGTTAGACGATTCTTATCGAGAAAAAGACTTACATGTAGTGCGCCTGGCCTTGGAAAAACGATAAGGGAGGTACCCTCATCCTTTCACTTTCACCGACAGCCTTATTCTCTCCCACCTTGTTCAGTGCGATACAAGTGAGAGTGAACGTTCTCGTTCTTCAAAAACTCTAGTGGTTTTCGTCTGATTAATCCCATGTGTGTTGGAACACACATGGGTGTGTTCCAACAGATGAATCAAAAAGGTGTGCTTAACGGAAAGGGTTGAATGCAGACATTGACAAAATAGTTGCAGATTCTGTAATCATGGACAATTTGACATTATGAAGCAGTTACTTAATACATTCACGAGGGTGATCAATTAATTCATATCATGGTGTTTGACACGCTGGCTCGAATATAAAGCAAGTGCCGGTGGCCGAAGGCATAAGATCATTATTCTGGCCCAGATGAAGTGCTTCTCTGAACTTGCACGAAAATGTGCAATCCGGGTTAACATGGAGAAGGGTTTGCCCATGCAAGTTCCACTTGCACGCAGTGGAGGACTGGTCAAGTTAACCCACGACGACTTGGCCCTGCAAGTTCAACTTGCACGGTGGGGTCAACTTGCATGCGACATACATATATTTACTACTTATATGTCAACCTGTATAAAAAAGTTCAAGTGGAGGGTATGTAAATTCGTGCAATCGTGCAATTTCCCTTTGGGAAATTGCACGAAAGCCAAGAGACAGGTGTGCATGGGTTTATACTAGTACTGCAAATAGGAAATTCCCACCATAAGAAAGCCCCCTCCTCCCAGGACAGGTCTTATGCTGGATACTCATTCCTAAAATCGCCTTTATAGTGAAAAGCCTGGGATTTTTACTATCTCATCTGTTCAATTGCATTACAGCGGAGGGTTTCACAAATTGTTAACGTCTCGCATAGGCACATGTTGATTATTTATGCATTTTCAGAAAGGTGTCCCTACTGGACGAAAACCTTATCTCAAAAATTATATATATTTTATGCTTCTGATTCCACAGATCTGTTTGCGTTACGTGAGCAACCTGGAAATTCTGACCTTTAGCTGGATATGAAGTGTTGAATTCTTCAAGAAATTGTTCAGGGAATTCATTTTCCAAGCTGAAAAGCCAAAAATATCCATCGGTGTAACCCATGTGAAGGTCCTGGAGATCTCGAAACCAGACTTCATTGTAATGTTGGCAGAGGTCATTAACGCCTAGGACAAAAACGTGATCGAACAACTTTCCACCTCTCTGGAGTGCTTGTAGCCTGGGAACTCCCAATTTATTGACTTTTTTGATTTTATCTGCGTCGCCACTTGCGATATTTCCCCGGCTGGGGCAGGAGACTACTCTCATGAGGGCAGTAAGCAGCCTCTTTTGTTGTCGACTCTCTAACGATTCCTTCCTTTCCAATTCTTCGCTTGATAGAAGCCGGTCCTCGGGTTCATTCCGAGGTTCAAACGCATGTGCATCCATGCTTCTTATGGCGCTGTCCTCTACTTTACCGGGGAGATCTTCGCGACGGATGTTTCTGTCGGTGTCCACAGAATCCTCAATAATGTGCAAATTTTCGTCGGTATTAATGCCTCCTTTTGAGTCATCTCCACAACCAACGAAGACTGTCGTAATGATGCGGCTGAGCAATCCCATTTCCTCGAGGCTGATGTAACTAAGAACCCGTTTCTTCTTCTCTTTCCTCAATTGTTGGGACTCTTCGCCTGGCGAAGATTCTTTCTGAGACAGCATGTCAGGTCCGCCCGGCTCGTCTGTGTGCGCTCTGTTGTGGTCCTTTAGGTCAATATTGGAGATGCCATGGACGAGAGGCTCATCCGTTTTCACGTAATCATCATCGGCCATAGCCGTTCCACCGGGATTTTCGCCCTTGTGTCCACTTTTCTCATTAATTTCGACTTCTCCAATGTTGTCCGTGTCCGCAAGTGGGTCAATAATGTCAGCTTCCACGGCGTCTCTGAATTTGTCGATATCTTCCAGGTTCTTCAACAGTTGCCGAATTTCCAAGGTATCTTCACCGCGGTGAGGTTTTTCCTGGGCCTGTTCGGTTTCACTCGCGTTCTCGTCCGAAAATTGCACATGGGAGTGCATTGGATCAAGAGTGGAGGCATCACTATTGAGGGATTTCTCTTCTTTCACCGATCCTTTACCAGCGAGATCATCTTCCTCATAATCTTTGCTGTCACGCATCCCTTTAGCACCAACCTCATTTTCGGTATAAGTGTTCCCGTAGAAACAAGAAGATATTCCATAAAGGTAGCTGTGAAGCAGAATATACATGAGGCTCTCCACCAGTCCCGTTATTTTAAGGAGCTCCTCACGAGAAAGTAATTCCTTCTGAGACGGTTGGTGGGATCCATCCTTGTATTTTATATTGCTTTCCCCTCGAGCAATAGAAGGAACTCTAATGAAGGGTTCTTCAGTTTCTACGGAGTTTATATCGCCTGCAGGTGCCTCTGCAGACGATCCCTCGTCTTGCGTGTGTTCATTGTTGATGTCTGCGGGAGAAAGCGCACAGAAGGTGAGACTTCTCTGAATGATGCCCCGAACCCACTCCTTTCTTTCGTCTGGAGACCTGTTGGTCCACGTGGAACAGGCACCGATCGCGGATGCTTCGATCCATCGCGGTACTGCGTCTCTCAGCTGCTTCGTCGCCTTTTCGCTCGGGTGGACGACGAGGATTCTCTCCGGTTGGGTCTTTCGTCTTCTGGAGAACCAGACCGTGGTGATGTTCCGCACTTTTTCCTTCATCAGGTTTATCTGGGTTTCAGAGTCTCCTTTGACTATACACTTGGTCGGTTCGTTGACCAGAATCTCGAAATCTCTCTCGGTGAGAAAGTGGAACTCTGTCGTGTTCGTCTCCAAGCATGGGGACACGTAAAGGGGTGCCAGGAATCTTCGAATGCAAGGACAAAAACAAGCTTCGAAGTCTCTTAAATATATAACATATATAAAAAAAAACTATTTAATATAATGCTTGCACTTGTCATTTGCTTCAAAAAGAGAATTTGTATGATTTCAAAATCACTACGGAAAGACTTAATTGCTGCGCTACTGAAATATTTTTTAAAATTTAATTAGCCCTGAAACTTACCAAGAGCTAACCTGCTCGGATGATTTTCTTACCTGGACAGTTTCAGGGATTTCGAAAGGAAAGGAAAATATTGATTCCCAATCTTGAAAACCGAGACTATCGCAAATACGAGTACCGAAGACCTCAATAAACGGAGTTGTGAATTGAATTATTCACAAATTTTCGTTTGTGACTTGGCCTCCTATTTCCATACCCTCTCTCCCTGCACAAGAGGATTCCGTGCACTTCTTGTTCGGCTTTTTTTAATTTTAAATCTCGCTCACAAAGGAGTTCCCCACGACTATGACCAGGCATTCAGACCTATCTAATAGTACACAAGTTCGTGGTAGGAACTTACAGAGCTAGCATAGTCTGGTGTGTGTTGCAGTCAATGTTTATAACCTTGTTGTTGAGAACCCCGACGATACGCTCGTTCCACCAGGTTTCCAATGCCGCTTGAGACTGGCAGTCCTCTTTATAAAGAATCAACGGATTTTGGGGAAGCTTTTCTTCTTTTGGAATCTTGGGGAAGGCGATGATGGAGAAATGAAGAGGAAACCATTTGTCGACCAGCTTCTTTTTCACCATACTTGCCTCCGCCATCAAGTCCCTCAGTCGATTCAAGTCTCTGTTTGCGTCTTGGATTTTCTCTTCGAAGAAATGAAGCCTCAGATCCTCCGTCGTTCCCTCTTGCTCCTCATCGATGTATAATACCTTGAGTAAGAAAAAGCCCGATCTCCGATCTATGATGACCACGTCGTGTTCATCATCTTGTATCTTTTCCAATCTCTCGTACAGTCCACCCTGAAAACGAGTTCTCAGCAACTGCTTCGAGTCCCGACTGTAAACGATGAACGTGGACTCCTGGCCTTCCTCCTCCTTTTTCTTGCCCATTTCGTGCAGGAAATGCACGATGGATGATCGAGAGCCACCACTTAACGGTGGGACGACGTGGGTTCCTGCATCTCGATTTGGAAACGTATCTTCCACGAATTTCTCTGCTTCCTTCAACCACTTCGCTCTCTCGTCTGCCATGATTGCCACGATTTCGTCCACGTATCGCGGTTCCCGATTCCTTCACTAAGGTCAGAAAGGCTCGACGTAGAGATCGAAACACTGAAGCACGAATCAGGGATTCGCGGAACGTCTTATCTGCGGTGGTACTCTGACAGGCTTGATAAGGAATTCATTAACACCGGGTACGATAAGGAGGTGCGTACTTTAACGCCACCTAGTGCCCATTTCTAGTGCAGCAATCCAAAGCGCACGAATAAAAATGGTTTTAAAGACGTCTGTAAGATACATTTTGGACGAAATAAGGTGAATCGTGGAGAACGTCAGTTATAAAATATCTCATATTAGCCTTTTTGCTCCTTTTAAATACGGAAGAGTTTAATCAAAGATGATATCGCCTTTGTCGATACGGGATTAAAGGCACATCTGCAGAGTGGTTATAAAGCCTTGCAATCACTTCCGAGAATAACTTCGTAACAGCGCATTCAATTTCAACGAAATTCACTAGTTATACATATGGAGTCGTGGATATGTGAATGCAGAAACGAAAACGGGTGGCACTATGTACAACTATAACTCTTTATTATGCGCTTGTCCTGATCGAGAATGAAATAAATACGCGTTATGACGTTGGAAACTGCCGGCATTAGCATGTCCTTGGGAATAGGATCTTTGAGCATGGGCAGGGATGTCATGGCGACTACCTCGAGAGGTGTGCTCGCTCGCCCTGACCAGAACGCTCAAGAACGTTTCCAGTCTCTTCAAATTTCTGGAGGGAGTACAGTTGACGCACTACAGGGACAGCGGCTTGGGTTTCTTTGCCTGCTAAGTCTCGCAGCGCTGCAGCAGCGTTGTTACCTGCCTGGTAGAAAACTTTCACGAGAAGCGCATTATTCTGAGGAGTGGTGACTGTACGTATGCCGACCAATATGCCGTTACACTCATTTAGGGCGTACTGGTGGATACAGTGCCGCATGGTGGAAATATGTTCTTACTGCTGCCAATCAAATTCCCACGATTCCATGTATACCCTGTGAACTTCTTGTAAGTTGAATGCACTATTACAGAGTTATTCTTCTCGGAAGTGATTAAAAAATGATAAACCCTCGTCTTCTCTCAGACACCGCTTTACGAAATAACAGCCGGGCACACGTTATTTCTCGTACTGCTACTGTAAAACTAAAGATCTCACGATTCATTGTAAAGCGTAAGACATGTCGGAACGCAGGGATTTAGACACTGATGCCGTGGAGACCTCCAGTGAAGGATGTGAGTTGCAACCGTCCGTAGAAGATGGAATGTGGCTTCAGACATGAGTGTTTCAATATCCTAGGCGTATGCGAGAATGTCTCTTCCGATTGGGCGCGGTTGACTCTACGGTATAGGTAGAAGCAGCCAATTCATGCAGATTTATCTCGCAACCGTTGAAATGGCGTCGCCCCACTCCAGTTCGTGCGTCTCGATCAGATTCTAAAGTCATTGCTTCCTCCATTTTTTTAGTCCAGTTTCAGACGGTGTTTGCATTTGGTTTCTTGTCACGGTGGTTCCATACGTATCGTCAGTAGACTAAGCCAGTGGCGTGCCCAGGAAATCCCAAAGGAGGAGGGGAGGGGGAGGTTGACTCGACACATTCTTCTGTAGGACCGTACCAGGGGGGTTGCGAGCAGTGCATCCTCACAGGGTGCCGACTAAAGAGGGATGCCGATCGGCTGCCAAGTATAGTATGTATTGATTAATGTAAATGTTATCCTGACCTTTACTAAATTAGATTGAAATATTTAGTTTATTTTTACGTAATGTATTATTGGTGATTGGGAAGCTGAAGAGCTGTTGAAGGGGGGGGGGGGGGGTCAAATACCCTCGGTAGGGCCCTGTTGTGTATGACTTTACTAAGCTATAAATATTGCTGGCCTACAGAATGAAATGAGTACCTTACGCTGTCCGTTTCATCAAATGTTTCACTGGGGACGTGCTACCGGGGCGATTTTTTCAACAGCTCCTTTAAAAGCTGTCCTCTATCATTCGGGCGAACGTCGGCACGTGCACCAATTGACCCGCAGTTGCTGTTCTCGGCAGCACCGGGTGATTTAAGGGTTGCCTCTTTATTGGTCGGTACCTCCAGTTCTTGGCGCGGGTCTTTTCGTTAAATAATTCAAAAGCGAAGATGAATATGATTTCTTCCCACTAACCATGTTGAAATAATATTCTGGTTCCTGGGTGTTTTATAATCCAAACGAGAACACAAATTAAACCTCTAACTCCAAGCATCCGCACTAGACTGGTACATGGTACACTGGTACATGGCCTGGAAGAAATCCCCGAGAAACAAGGGAAGACGAGTCCCTACGCTGCACCTACCATTGAGATCGTATATTCTTAACTAGACTGGCTGCCGGCGCTAGTGTAGTGTGAGGTTTTGAATCCGTGATAGCCGGGTCGGTCGGAACCACTGAGCGAAGAAGGTGCAGGCATCTCAACAATGTTCCGATGTCGCTGTGGGAGACTCCTAAGTCACCGCATCCACTCGACGAATGCCCAATTCTGGGCAGTATAGGAGAGGGGGACGTGTTAGGAACGCAGTGCTGGCGGGGTCGAATCCTCACACGCTTGCTCCGGCCAGCGGAGCAAGCCTTCCGCACTAGGTACAGTAGACGTCACTTATTGTGATCGCTAGTTGTTGTCATGAGCCGAATGATGTGATCGAATCTCGAAAATCAAATTCAAACCCAATATTTCACGTATATTTTTCTCCGGTTTATGCTATCACATGTCGACGGATGTTTTCATCAAGCCATGCGCCGACAACTGTTACCGAATCGTATAGCATTCAGAGAAGGACAGAGATATCCCTCCTCTGGGTCGAGGGGAACTTCTCCTCTCGGGTGTGAAGAGAGAGCTGCAAACGGCCTTCAACATCTCCACCCGCTTTACACAGAGGGTTAGGTCAGAGCGGCGAATCCACGTGGTAAGGTGTCCAGTACGCAATGTTACTAACACGTGCACGACGTTCGTTCATTTGGGTGCTTTAACCAGACAGTAGGTCATGTTTGCAGAGCAGCAGCGACATATCTCATCGAGGACGTTACGAGCCCCATGTAAATCTTCCAGATCCGATGTTCGGTTCTGCGGAGTGCAGACGGTTTCTGGAGTTCGCGGATTTGAGGATGTTGTTCTTTCAAACAGCGAAAGAGCCAGTATCGTATCTGAATGATCCTCGATCCACTCGAATGTTTTTCCGAGATAAGAGGGAACTCCATCTTATCAAGTACTCCCTAGGTCGAAAAGCTCCCTCTCTCGGGCTTTGCAGTCCTATTTTTCAGTGTCATACCCTGAGTGTCGTGGTTAACCAGACCCATCTCCGCTTATTCGTTCTTCAAGTCTTCATCGACTGCAAAACTTGAATCTGACGATGGCAGCTGCGGCCCGTAGTGAGACGATCGTGATCGATAAGGACTTGGACGATCACAACGGCCTCGCGACTGACATTTCTGGGTGCTTCAGGACGGGATCCAGCTGGTGCGACGTCGTCATCCTCGTCCAAGACGAGAAATTTTATTCCTGCAAGGGGATACTTGCATCCGTCTCCATCTACTTCCGAGAAATGTTCTCCACTGACTTGAAAGACGCTTCTCAGCGGGAGATCAGACTGGAAGGCTTCACTGCGATTGGATTCAAGCCGGTTTGGGATTACATTCACGGAACGAAACTGGAAGTGGAAGGGGTTGAAGGGGCATTGGCCATTCTTCGAGATGCCCGATTCCTTGGGCTCAAACGCCTCTTCCACAAAACGAGCAAGGTCGTAAAGTCGTTGCTGAGTCCTGACAATGCCGTACGGATCTTCGAAACTGCCGCACAATTTGATGATAAGGATTTAAGAGAAGCTGCTGTTGGCTTCATTTCGGT